ATGTCAATTGTTCATAAGATGAAAAGAAGTCGTTAGAGTAGGAAAACTTCTTATTAATTGTATATATATATATATATATATATATATATATATATATATGTATATATGTATGTATATATTTCAAGTCTCTCACATTTCTTCCCAATAAAGATAATTTGTGGAATTCATTTAAAATTAGTTAACATAATTACTTGTTTAGGTGTTCAGCAGTTTATTATTTATAGAAATAATTGCAGCAAATGTTATTTATGTTTTCGTTTAAGCAACTAAAATATTTTACAAATACGTGTTTGCTGCTGCATTACGAACCTCAAAAAAAAAAAAAAATAAATAAATAAATAAATAAATTATCCTCGGTTTATCTGGTATTTTTAATACCTAACATCAGCATATTTTTTTCGTCTTGCTAAAGCATTTCGACATTGAAGAAATTTGTCCCTTTTGTCAAATCATTATAATAATATGAGAAGAGTAATAAGCCATGTAAACGTTATCATCCCATTGCGCTACAACAACAAAAAAGCATTTATCCATTCATAAATACGCAGCAATACTTAATGAAATATGACATCAGTTACAAACATACACCTTATGTAAGCAATTATGTAAGAATTATGTTACCCGAGGGTATAAAAGTATTATTGCAGTCGGTACATGTCGTATTAAAACCAAATAACCAAATAACATACGCCATAATGCTTTATGGAAAAGTTATTTTATAAGTCACGTGAAAAGGGAAATTTTTCATTTTGCAGAATTTTTACTGAATCAAATGGATTGTCTGTCAAGTAAATTTTTGAAAACAGGAACAAAGAGAAACAATTTGAAATCAAATTTAATATTTTAGAGAAAATTTTACAAACATAATCGCCTATAACGTCCGGATGGCGTCCGTCCATCCATATAATTAGACTAACTAATTTAAGCAAACTAATTCGAATCTGTTCAATGCTTAATATAAACGGCGATGAGTATAGTTTAGTTTTTCAAGCATTCGAAAAACTTTATATATTTATATTTGTTGTTGTGATGGGTATATAAAACGAATTTAAAAAATTCCATAAAACATTTTATAAGCTCGAATCGCAATTGAAGTTAATAGCAAATAGCAAATAGCCAAAATGACCCCCAAATCAAAGTTGCTTTCAGAATTAGTAAATGTTAAAGTTCTGATAAGCAGCTGGTCAAAGTAAACAGATGTTAACTGATTGTAAACTCATTACATTCATTACATTCATTACATTCATTACGCTGTCTCGACCAAGCTAATACAGAGCCGTTTCAAACGATACTCACTTTGCCTCAGATGCAATTTACTTTGCATAGAAAAATTGCGTATGTGTTAGTAATATTTAAATCAATTTTTTTTTTTTTTTTGTTTTTTTTTGTAATGTCCGGTATTTTGTTAAATTTTTTTTTGAAAAAGTTCTTTATGTCCGTGTTATTTGAAATAGAGTAAGTAGCCAATGCAGCCTATGAGAAGAACGCGATTCTTGGAGTCTTGGCAAATAAAAATTGCACGAGAAAAGTGCCATTTTGCTCTATCGAAACCCTTAAAAGTTCACTTTATTGTGACAAGGGGAACATGGCAACGCAATAGGATATCCTTTGTATGGAGACGAAGTCGACATAAATAAAAAAAAAAGTTGTTTTCAAAATTTTTTCTTACGGTTCCTGTCAGTTCAAGTTAGTAAATTAGTTGAATCGATCAGTGTAGTCGCCGCGCTTTTCCGAAACTAAGTTTTAAGTCGAATCTTAAACTCGTTTTCAATAAAGTTCATGCGTCAACTTCAAATATTAAAGTTAAAGCGAGCGCATAGTGAACGCATCATCGCTATAGCAATAAGATGCGACATTTAAGCATAGCTTTTATGGTCCACCGATATCTATCAAGTGCTACCCTGGTGTGTTAAAAGTTGTATTAAATTTTTCCTTGTCAAATATGATATACGATACTTAGCTTAGGGCATAGACCTTCGCATCATCGGATCCTGTACAACATTCTGCACAAAGTGTAAAGTAATGCTAAGGAGGATGCTAAGAAAGTTCGTCCCTGCTGAGCATCACTTCGCGTCTATTTATAATTTCCATTATTGCTTGCCAATCGCTTTAATAGTTGTAGTATCTGGTGATGGCAGTTAGATATATTAAGAGAACATCCAGCGAATAAATATCTTTTTTCCCAAATAAACCAGATAAACTAAAAGTTGAACTTGCTTTTCGAAGAAGTACAAGCTCACTTAATACATTTCTTAGCCTTCTTCAACTCCGTTTAGACAATCTCTTCAATTAAAGAATGAAATTTTTCGGGGAATCAAGTTAATTTCGTTTCTTGCCCTTTGAAAGTCTTACGAATTTTCCCAATCGATCGCACAATACTTGAATTGAAAATACGAAAACTGAGCTCAACCCAGCCGCGGCTACGGCTTGTGCATGTGGAATTAAGCTCATCTGGGGTTAAATGGCATTCGCGTCCTCGGTGCAAAGAACATACTTGTGTTGTTCCTAAAGGACTCTTAAGAGTGTAAAAAACACCTTTTGGATCTAGTTGGTGAGCTGATTACACAATTTTTGACACAAATCAAAACAGTATTGCAATTACCGCTAATGCAAAACGCTAAGGTAAGATGATAAGTGATTTTTTTCTTTTTTTGGCAAAACTTGGGCGATTGCATTTTGACCGGGATGCGGCTGCAATAAACTGGTGCAACATGCTATATGTAATTCGTGGCAAAATCCAATGATCGTGTAATTGCCAAAAATGCCTATGTACGATACAACTCTATTCGATTTTTTACTATGGCGTTATTTTGAAGCATTGGCTTACTCCAATTGATCAGAAACGTTCAGTGATCTTATCCATGAAGATTATCCGTGCTATTGCTGAAATAAGGGTAAATTTATATGTGGAAAAGTGGCAAAAATCGTTGTTCCCCAATTGCGGCCAGAAACTGTCTGTCATATGTGTGAAGTTATTTTTAAATGAAAATGACTTGAAACAGTATCTAAGAGAACGGGGAAATCTTGATAAAATCTCTTATCGTTCAGGGCTTATTACAAATTAAAAAAAAAAAAAAAAAGGAATAACAATTATTTCATAGGAAATGAAAAAGAAGGTTTTGTACATCCACTGGCCTTAGCTATGCGACCCGACCCGAATGCGATTAATATGCCATTATGTACTCATTTATGAAATAACATTTCATCAATATTGCAAATGTATATCATCATCATCAATCGTATTGTTGAGGAAAAATTTAATTTAAATTTTATTCTCAAAGGAATAGAACATTGAGACATAGATTGCCATGAAAAGACTTAAGAAAAAAACTTGAAAAAAATATTTCTCCTACCCTTTGAAAAGAAGTAATTAATGAAACTAATAAATGACAAACAGAACGAAAGACAACAGATTTCTCCAATTAATTAAATTAGGTTCACGAAAGAAAGAGAAAATCTTCAAATGTTTTGATGATCATTTTACAGTAGCTTTAATATATATAATACAGAAATAGAAAAAGAAAAATATTTTTTTTTTTTTCTTTTTTTTCTTCTTTTAAATAAAAAACACAGCATTCACTCATGCTTATGTTCTCTTATCTATCGAGTCAAAATAAATAAAATAGCAAGTGTTTATTTTATTATTAATCAGCTTTGTGTAGATTAATCCTTTCAATGTATAGGTGAAAGAGAAAAAAGGAAGAAAAATAAAGGAAAAAAAGAAAAAAAAAGAAAAGAAAAGAAAAGAAAAATATTAAACTAAGTACAACAAAATCAAAATCATATGGAAAAGTAAATGATTAAGAGTTTTCTCATAAATTCATTCATGACACTGCATACAAATGTTTCAAATCTCATAACGTTTTCAGCAAACATATAAGCACAAGGCAGATATATGTGTGTGTATGTGTGTATATGATGATGATGAAACAAATACACATACGCATATATCACTAAGTTGTTTTTAAGCCGAGAAGAAAAACTGCCAGCTTAACTGAAGCAACAGTTTTCTTGCGACGACTTAACAAGACGGTTGTCTGGTACGGTAGTTTGTTGTTTTCGTTTTTCAGTTTCTTTTCTTTTCTTTTTTTTTTTTTTTCTTTTTGTTGTTTAACTTTTCTTCATATTTTTCGCATTTGTAAATTTTAAAGCAATACACTTAGGCAACAGCAATAACCACCAACTTAGTGAACTAAGGCAATAACGTAACGTTCAAAAGCAACGGTTAATGTGTAGCTTTTTTATATAAACTTTTACCACACACTTGTTACGTTTGTTTATTTGTCGGTGGTTGGCCGGTTTAAAAGACGAAGCAAAAAAAAAATACAAAATATAAAAGAAAAGAAAGAAATTTCTTTAATATTGTTAAGCTTAAGGCTTATGAACCAACATTAACGACAGTTAGTTGGTCTTGGTTAACATAACGAAACACATGTGCGTACAGTAATGTTCCAATAAATCAAAAAAAGAATTTTTACGAATTAAAAAGTAATTGAAAAAGAAAACAATAAAAAAATTTTCATTTTTTACAGAAATATTTTTTATAACTTTGCAAAAAAAACAAAGAAAAAAACAAACGGTAATAATAAAAAATAAAAGGTTTGTAACAAACAATAACTAACATGAAGGCAAAAAAAAAAAAACCAATGAATTTTTTTCAAAAATAACCTGCCGCTGCATCTATTACTGTTGTTTTTGCCGAAGTGTAATGGTGACATACTTTACTGTGTCTTGTGTTTCGGTTTAGGGAAAAGTGAGAAACAAAAAAAAAAAAACACAAATATTTTACACGAATTTTTGCTACAACTTCACCTGCTAAAGTTTTTGTCTTTCTTTTTTTTTATTTATTTATTTATTTATTTTTTTGTTTTTGTTTTTTTGGTATTTCTAAAATTTATCTCTATAGGTCTTATTGTGTTAGTGTGAATGGTAATTTTTCTAAAACAAAAAAAAAAAAAAAAAAA